GACCTTGCAGTATCAAGCTAAACGTCAACAGCAGTTTAATAAATCCAGACAGTGGGGATAGCCTGTAACCAGGAGAGGGGCCCTGCTGTGTGCTGTGGATATATATAGCAGGATATGTCTCCCTAATATTTTTAACCCCCTGGCTCTTCATAGCGCTAGCTTGATAGGTGACTGCAAGCAGGGCCACTTCTCTCAGCCTCTTTCCCCTCCTGGCTTTTGCTCTTTGACTTTGAGTTAGGGCATCTTTTTATTTGAAGCTGGTCCATGGGATTTAAAACCATGAAAGGCATGGGCAGCAGTGGGTTTGCCTCCATGGTGAGTGCCAGAGTGTCCTGTGCAGTGTGTGGGGGAGAGCAGTGCTGGTGTGAGCTGAGCTGAGCCAGCCACAGCCCGCTGGGGAGGGGCATGGAGCCTCACCAGTGCTGGAGCCCATCTCCTCTGCTTTCAGGAGCTCCAAGGCTCTGGCCAAGCATGGACCAGCGGGTGAACTTGCTTTTCTTATTCAGTGCTTTGGGGATGCCACCATAATCCAAAGATGTAACTAGGAACGAGAGGAGTCTTGGCCCCGATGGTGAAGCCAGTAGAGGAGGAACATCTTGGGAGTTGAGGGACACGGTGCTAATGGTATTCCTAACATGGCAGAGACACTGTGGGGCTGTGCTGCTCCCATGTACAGTGGCAGCAGGGATAGCCCTGAGTCTCTGCTGCTGGCCTCCATTGTGGTTCTCTGGCTGGGAATACAGGTGGGGGATGCGGAACCCATCTGGCAGTGTTCATCAGTCAGAAAGGCTGGCTCAGTGGCAGGGCTGGGGCAGGCATAGGGGTTCAGGGGGGGGCAGAGGGGTTGAGGGATAGGCATAGGGGTTCTGGGGTAGGCAGAGGAGTTTAGGGGCAGGCACAGGGGTCATGGACAGCAGAGGGGTTCACTGGCAGGCACAGGGCTTCAGGGGAAGGCAGGCACTGCTGGAGCTGGGAGTTCTGCCAAAGAAACACATATGCGGCTGGAGCCCGGTGTTCTTCTTCTCCTTCCTTCTTTAAGTTTTTTGGTTTTTTTAGCTTGAGGTTCCAGGCATTGTTTCCTCTGATGGTTAGGGTTTTACAGTACAGCTCCAGGATGCGACTCCCTAATATTTTAAGCGCACACACACGACTGCCTGCGAAGCTGTGGATAAGGAACCCTCGGCCGAGCAGCTGGGAGGATCCCGGGGTCACTCTCGCTGTCCGTGTGCCGCTGGGGGCGAGATGCGGTTGCCGGTGCCCTTTGAAGCGCCCAGGGCCGGGAGCGCGTCCGGCCCCGCGCGGTCCCGTCCCGGCGGGCGGGGCGGGGCGGGGCGGGGCGGGGCGCGGGCACGTGCGCGGGGGCGGCGCGGGCGCGGCGCAGGCGCGGGCGGGCCGGGGCAGGCGGCGGAGCCGGGGCGCCCCGAGCGCGCCGCGCCGGGCCGGGCTTAAAGAGCGGCGGCGGCGCGGGTCAGGTACGGACCTTCCTGCATCCCTCCTTCCCTCCCTGTCCGCGCTCCGCGCCTCCCCGCGGGGCTCGCCCAGCAGCGGGGCAGCGCCTTTCCGTTCTTTTTGTTCTCGCCGGTCGACTGTTTTTCAATTTTTTTTTTTTTCTTTTTGTTGTTATTGTGGTTTGGGTTTTTTTTTTTTTTTTTTTTTTTTCCTAAATTAAGTTGGTTTCGCCCCGGGCGCGGAGCCCGGCGGGACCCTGGTGTCCGTGCGTGCGCGCACACGCGCGGCCGGGGCACGGCGGGGCGGGAGCGGCCGGTGCCGGTGCTGGTGCCGGTGCTGGTGCCGGCCGTGCCCGCCCGCTCCGGCTGCGAGGCGGCAGCCGCGCTCCCGGCGCCGGGAGAGGCGCGGGCGGGAGGCTCCCTGGCAGCCTCCCTGACCGTGTCCCCTCGCTGGATGGAGCCCGGGGCTGCCGGGGATGCGGTGCCCGCCGCGGGGGCTGGCGGAGCGGCTTGAGCCCCCCGCCCGGCGGAGGCGAGCATGTCCAGTGAGCGGCTTAACAAGACAGCGGTGAAGGATGCGCGGTTAAAAGACCTGTTGTTGGAAAGAGGTACCGGAGTGTCCGCAGGGGCAGGGACCGCGGGGTGCGGGCCGGGCACCGCACAGCCCGGCCCGCCCGGGAGCGCTCGCCGGCGGAGCTGCGGGGTCTGTGTGCGGGGAAGGCTCGGGGTGACGGTCCGCTGTGCTTGCTGGTTATTAGGGTTGTAAATTACGTCTCTTTTTACGAGCTCTTCCGAGAAGATGGTTTGATTCGACGTGTAGTTAGTTGCCTATTCCGTGTTGGGCGTTTACTCTGAAACGTTGTGTTTGGTTTTAAGGTGTTTTTTCCCCCGGAGAATTTTTATTAGAAATGTTGTTTCTTGCGTGTAAAGAAATGGATATATGCGAGTGTGATAGGCTCGGGGCAGTAAAACCAAAGCATTTCTCTTCCTGGAGCTTTGCCCGGTTTCTTTCCCAATAAATTTATAGGAAAAGCGGCCAGGAGGCGATGCCTGTCTGGAAGGCAGTGGCCCTTCACGCCTGGCAGGTGTTGGGCAGGGGACGTGGTGGAGGCCGGGGTGACCCAGTGCCTGTCAGCAGCCGCTAGGAACTATTTAAATAGCCTTGATCAGTGCCAGCAAATATAGACTGCTGCTGCAGTCTGCCTTTGCTTTTTACTGCTAATAACCTAATGAGCCGCAGGAATGTCACTCGGGAGGAAGAGATTTAAGAATATCTTTCCTTTCTCCGTGCTGTCCATTAAGGAAATCCTCTCGAACATCAGTAAGGTGTTTCGTTGCACTGGGTGTGGGAAATCCCATATGCTCACAGCTGTGTGCTGTGGTCTTTATTTTTTTTTATTGTGTAGCCATGTTTTACTTAAACATTTTCAGATTATTCCCTCCCATGGAAGTGCTCACAGACCAAATCACTCATCTGTAAGGGAGAGGTATTGTCCTTTGCCACTGAAATGTAGGGGTCTCGATAAATTTAGAAGACTCTGCCCTTGGCAGATGGAGAAGTAACATGTCATTCTAGTGATCTGTGCATTCTAGGAAAGCCTAAATCAACATTGCTTGTTTTGCATGTTGCCCTTTAGCAACAGTCTCTCAATTTCCAGTCTAAAGTGTGGCATGTACCCAAAAAAGTTTGGCTAAAGAAACCCTTTAGTATTTCAGTAGCCACAGAATGTGAATTGCAGAAGTTGTCAACTATCTAAAGTCTGTGTTCTGTGTTTCTGAGCCAAGAAAAACTGACTTTTAGCTGTGGTTTGGGTGGGTTTATTTTTTAATTAATTCTGTTCTTCCGGCTTTTTGATCTTTTGGTGCCGACATTGTTAGCTCCCAGTGACGCAAGAGAGGGGAAAAAGAAAGCTCGCTGCCCTTCGTGTGGGGCTGATAGCAAAGCACTGACTAACCAAATTCTTTGAAAATGTTGGTGGTCTTAATGACTCTTAATGAGTGGAAAGTACTTAACAGCAAAGAGTGATAAAGTGATAGGCATATTTTTGCCCTTTACTCTTTCCTTAGCTTTAAGTAAGCTTAGTTACTCCCCTAGAGACGATTGTAGACCCTCAGCACTTTGGTGGTGTGGCTGTGCCTGCTGGTAGCTTGTGACAGACAGCTGGACCTTGGCACCAGCCCCCACTGGACACCAGCACACCTGCAGCTCCTGTAGTCTGACGTCTCGTTTGCAAGAGATCTTAGAATAATGAAACAGCCTTGGGTTTCCTTTAGCTCCGCTGCAGATGCATCTTGGATTTTATGTTTTGAGTGGTGTTTTTCTAGCTCAGCTTCACACTTGTGTTGTGTCTGCACAAGTGTTCTGTCACATAGAAAGCTGAGGGTGGCTACCAATTAGAGATGGGGGCAAGGGGGCTTGTTTTCCAGTATTTGTTCTGTCCTTTCATTTTCATGTCATTTCTCTTTGTTAGCTTTTTAAAACAGAAATTTAGTGTCAGTTCCCCTAAGTTCATGTTTCTGCATCCAAAGTACTACCCTTTTTGGAAAGTACTGAAACAGAGCAACTTGAGCTGCTTCTTCTACCAGCCTAGCAACCAAAGACCTCCTCCCATTAACTGGAGTTGTCTTTCAAGATGAAAGCATCCCCTGTGAGCAATGCAGTTTCCATAGAAATATCATCAACTCGGTAACTCCAAAGGGCAATTTTCCCCCTTATGTTGCTCATCCTTGCTGCTCCAGTATAGCCAAAAGGGTGCAAGAGTGACTCATTTCTAAATATACTTAATATTTGTGGTATAGGCAGGGCTTCAGATAAGATGATGGATTCTGATGGAGTTCATTGTAATTGTATCTCTTGCAACAAGCAAGGCCCTGGCTTCATTTTTAACTGTGATGGAACATGTCTTGTTTTAGAGTATCAGAGCTCTTTTTAGACTTTTACCTGACTGGGAAAGCCTTAGAAAAGTTAGGGTTACACTAGTTGGAAATAAGGCAGTAGTTGAAAAAGACACTGCATTTAGATTCAACAGGCTTCAAGTTTTCCACTCTAGTTAAACAGCTTTCATGCTATTTACTTGATAGAAAAATTAAGGGTAGTGTACTCGATAAAGTTCCTAATTCCTCTCAGGCTTTGAAGCTTATGGAGCCGTCTGAACTCTATTGGTATTAGAGATGGCTATTAAAATAGAGTGGGGTTTGTGTGTGTGTGGTTTCTTCAGTCTTTCGTTCAGTGAAATTGTTTTGTCCAAAAGGCTCATCTGTGGTGTTTATGTTGAAGAGTTTATTACCTGTGGAGGCTGCAGAGAAGGATCAAAAAGAAGCTTCTTAGTTTTGACCTACAGCCACTCAGGTCGATCAACTTGCTCTGGCAAATATTAAATAATTTTTGTGCTTTTTAGAACAGTTTTCTTCACAAAACTTTGCAGAATGGACAGCAATAGTATCTCAAGCCAGATCAATCTCAGAGAAATATTGAGGGTCTTTTCAGGTAGTTGCTGTGATGGTTAACCTTTTGTGTGTTGATGACACGTTTTCCTCTTTTCTTTGTTTTAGCTGAACTGGAGTTTGTTCAAATCATCATTATAATCGTGGTTATAACTGTTATGGTGGTAGTGATCATCTGCTTGTTGAACCATTACAAACTCTCCACACGCTCCTTTATCAACCGACAGAGCCAAAGCAGAAGGCAGGAAGAAACTCTGCAGACGGTGAGTGTGAGCCCCTTGCACCAAACTCCTTTTCCTTACGCTCTCTGGGCCTGCAGCAAAGCTTCCCAACGAGCTCTGGTACAGGCAACTGCTGGAAAAACTACTGAGATCACCTTTAATACTCCCTATAGTTAGGGCTTTTGCCAAAGTTGTATTTGTCAGTAAAAAACAAGTTTGGAACACAAATTTAAGGTACACTATCTTCGATTACTTTTAGACGTTTTATGTAGCCTATATTCATTTTGGAGGCTTAGATGTGACATTATGTTTGCTGCTGTAATTTGAGAGGGGAGTGAGGAAGGGGAATGAATGGAGATTAGCTGGGGTGCAAAGAATTGGAATACACTTAATGACTTTCCATATATTGTCTGATACCTTGGAGTTTTATTGCTGCTACTGTTTTGTGAAGCTGCCGTGGCTGTTCACTGGATCAAAACCACTGTCTTGGTAAGGGCCCAGCAAAATGTAATGTTTGTTTCACTAAAACAGCAAGAAGAGACTAGGAAAAGGATCTCCCCAAGGACCTGGAGTGCTTAAGATGTGTTGCTGCAGAGTCAAAAGCTTAAGATGGAATCTCAGTCAGTACTTGTTAAACTGCATTTAGTTAACCCAACAGTAAATGGGCACCTAATTTGCTTAGTGAGCCAGGAGTTTGCTGGGTTAACCTTGTGAGGGTTAACCACAGTGTGTCCCTGACCTTGGGACATCCCCTACAAGCTTTGCGTGGAGGAAACGAGTGTCCTGTAGTGTTGCAAGGAGGTCCTTTCTTCTGATGTGCTTTTCCCAGAGCTGTGCCCTTGGTCTCTTTGCTGACAGCGATGGCCAAGGGGCCATTTATGAAGTCACCTTTTGATGCATTGAATTCCTGGTAACAGTGTTGAGTTCAGAGCTTCATTTTGCTGTAAAAAAAAGTCAGATTGTAACTGAGAGATGTGGTCTCATAGTGATTTACACCATTTCTAACTCCACAGTCTCACCTTCTTATCCATTCCAGTTTTATGTTTCTTCCTTCTTTGTACTCCTTAGGGAGCTGCAAAGGTCATGGTGAGAGGCCTCGGGGGACTGCTCTGGCTGAACACTAATTGCCAGCTTTTTACTTTTGCTTTTATTTTTGCTTCAGCAGGGGAGGCAGCACTGACAGGGAAGGAGGCAGAGATGCCACAGTGGCTGCTGTGGGGCTGCCTCCCTGGCAGTCCTGGCAACTGGCAGCTCCCTCCTGTCGGCTGTACAGTGTGACAATGCAGGGTTCCCAAAGCTCTCTTAGTACATCACCTGTGCCATTTTGCTGGGGTGAATTGCTTTTTGCTTGGAGGCTGCAGGGGGAGGAAAAGAGCTGCCTCCTCAAGGAGAGGCTGCCTCATTGCCTGGCACTTTGGTAGTGTACGAATGCTTAGCTGTAATTTGGTTACAGATGAAACTGGAACTTGTCAAACCTTAACCTCGTGGACTTGAGGACTGGAAAAATTGACTAGATTAATTTGAATGTTGCTTTGAAATGGACAGTGTAATTCAAGAACCACAATTTTGTCTGAAAAATGTTAGCTATAATTGCTACAGATGCCCCAAATGAAATAGTTTGAGATAAATGAAATGCATTTTCATCTTCACAAATCTTTTTAAACTGTAGTAAGCTGTCAAATGCATGAAATAACCCATTATTTCCTTTGTATGGTTCATTACTATTGTCTGTTATCAGAGGCAGTGGTATTTTTTTTTTTCTCTTGAGCATAAGGGAGAAAACTTCACCTTCTTGTGAAGAACATGCAATTTGACAGCAGGGACTTGGGAGCTGCTTTAGTACCCAGAACTGATCTTAAATAATTTTTAAACACTGACTCAGTTTCAGTTTGATGTCACCATTTTAAGTAACAATAATCACAGCCAAGTGAGCACTTCATGGGAATTAATGAGGGGACAGCAAGAACCAGTTACTGATTTTTTTTAAAAGCCTGTGGTGTAGGTTTGTCATCACTATTACTCATCTGAATTTCTGATAAGCTGCAGCTCTTCTTAGAAGAAGGTCATACTTGTGGGGAATGGGGATTTAGATGTCTCTGAGTTCAGATGTCAAAAACTTTGAATTTTCCTTTGTCTCGGGTGTTAGAAGGAAATTCTCATAGAAACTGTCTGTGCAGTGCAAGCCTTAAAAGCAGTGTGCAGAGAATGAGGGTCAGGAAACTAAAGTAAGTGCTCTGTGGTGAGAAACTGCAAATGACCAGTCTGTTCTCATTGTCCACAGTGGAGTGACTTGCACAAGATAATAGTGTGAGTGGTGAGATGCAGGTTATACACTTCTAAAATTCATTTTTTGTACCAGGCAAACCTTGTTCTGTGTGCACATGCTATCCAAGTGGATTTTCTTGCAAGGGAATATTTTTTTAATGGTATATAGACTCTGAAAACAGTTACAAATGTTTGTTAACCACTAATGTCTGAAGAGAATATTATTGTGACTTAAGTCTTCTTTTAGTAGGGAAATAGAGGAAATTCAGCCATGTTTCTCGAAAGAAAATAGTGAAGCAAATTATTTGACTGTTGGCTAGTTCTGTAGTGACTCTGAAGAGAACATCCTTTCGTGTAACTGAGGTAGTAGAGCTGCATCAAAATGTAGAATCCAGCTTTTCCTTCAGATGAGGCTGTTTTGGTTTTTTTTTTTTTTCTCCTTTTTGTTACTTTCAGTTTTCTTTAAGCCTGTCCTATTTCTAGATAATCATGCCTTCCACCAGCTAACTGGTGGCTGAACTGCACAGGTTTCTGGCCTCATCAAGACCAACTATTGAACAAGTGATCTCTTATTCCAGCTCTTCTACAAAGTGTAATAGGAGCGATCAGGTAAATGATCTACTGCCTTTATTGCCAGCCTCACACCTGTAAAACTCAAGGGTTAGGCATTAGAAATCATTAAATAATAGATATTAGTGGATTTTTTTTCTGGTTCAACTTCTTCATGGTTATACAAACCAAAAAAACCCAGAACAAACACCCTCAAAACAAAAATTAAAGAGGATGATGATGAGAATTTCAACTTCCAGGCCAAGTCAGAAGTTAGAATATTAAAAAGATTAAATCACTGCAATCACGAGTGTTAACATTTGAAGTGATGTTTGAAGGGCAAAAAAAGGACCAGTCATAGGAAAAAAAAGGCTGCTCTTAGACAAGTGCTGACTAAATGTTGTTACGTGCCTGTTCTGTTTCTGTGTGACCACCAGTTCATATTTATAATTTTTCTTTATTTTCATTCCTCTGGAGTATCATCTTCCAGTCTTTCCCATGGTCTTTGGTATTTTATTACCTTGGTTATTGTGCCAAGGCATTAAGCGGATCACAGCCAAAGGCAGGAAAAACACTGGGTGCCCAGGAGCAGTGGGTGCTTCTGCTGCAGTGCTGAGGGTGCTGCCTGCCCCCTCCTTGTGAGGCTATTAAACATTCCAACCCTGTTCTAACATGAGCAGAAATAAGATTTTTGGGGTCATAATTGTGAGAGGTGGAAAGATGGTGAGTGATAACCATGTTGGCATGAGCAGTAGCCTGGAGTGAGCCTGCAAGTTGTTGAACAGTGCCTGTATCACATTGGTTAAAATATTGGATGTTTCCTGCTGCTGGCTTATCCATCAGCAGTGTTGGGCTTCACAGCTGAGAGTAAGCCAAGGGTTGCAGAGCACCTGAGAGGGATACAAAACCCATAGGCTGTGGAGTACACCAGGAGCATGCCCGGGGCTGCTTCACTTGAAACAACAGAACCTCTTGCATGGGAGCAACTGATGCTACTGGCAGTGCTGGGGGATTTTGGGGCAGAGCCATGTGGTAGCCTTGGAAAGGCACATCTGTGCACAGGATATGTGTGTCTGATACCCAAGGGGAGATCTGTGTTGCTGTCTGTGCCTTGTTGACCTTGTATTGGGAAGGCACTATTGCTGGTAACCAAAAGCATCCCTTCTGGAATGTAGGTAGCTGCAGCTGAGCTGCTGCTGTGGCACTCTGCTGTTTGCTGGGACAAAACAAAGATAAATCTTGCTTCCCAATGATTAACTCTTAATGTCATCACTAGTGATTTCCACAGGGACATTGAGAGGAAAGAGATTAACTGACTTACAGAGAGGTACTTAATGAGCTTCTGATGTTCCTAATTTCATTCCTTTTCCCTATCCTGGTGTCTTTGCATTGTCTTCTTTTATAAAGTAGACGTTGAATGAGTGCTGAATACTTGGACTGCTCCAGGCCTATTCCTGGCAGCAAATCCCTGCATCCATCACACAAGACACTCACCCTGACCAGCCCCTGCGTCCCAGCACCGAGGGCAGCATTGCTGCTCAGGCTGGTGAGCTTGCATTAGAACCTGTGTTAGGAATGCCAGTCTTGGATGCCAAGCTCCAGGAGCACAGCTGTAAAAAATACTCCCCTCTGCCCTGTACCAGCTATTTCAGAACAAAAGAGGACTGTTGGGGAGGTGACAGAAAATACTCAATAATATTGACAGCTGAGGGATTTGTCAGTAATTTCAAATGTTAGTCTTTCCTGCTGTTCTTTTAAATGATTTCCTACTGGCATTGGCATTATTCTGTCTGTTTCCTGCTGGTGTCCCTGGGCCACTCATTCTCATTTTCTTACTGACATATGCAGAAGAAAGAAAATCCCACTGGGAACAAGAACCCAGTCTACAGCCAGGAGAGAGTGTGAGTGCTGTAGACCACCCTGCTTTGCCAAATCTTTTTGTTTGTACCAGTCATCATTTGGCAGGGGCTGCATGTGCACTGTATTCTCCTGCTGTCTCCTTGAGGGACATGGGCTCGCCTCTCCTCAGGGAGTGCTGCCAAGAGGGACAGTGAGCTCGGCTGCTGCTCTTTGAAGTCTCCCACAGTAAAGTCATTATATGTTTAATAAGGGCAGGGTTGTCCAGGAAACCTGCAGGTAGGACTAGAAGCAAGGAGTGCTGGCTTTGGGTGGCACCTGACTCCGTGTGTCACCTTGGGCAGCTTGCTTCATCTTCAAACAAAGGAGGAAGAATAATAGTACTTACTCCCTTCAGCTGAGTGAAATGAAGATTACTTAAAGTGATGAAGTGCTGTGAAGTTGGGGAAATAAAAGTCTTAAAGCATTAAGTAACAGGAATAATTGCAGTAAGTGTAGGGAGGCAGATTACGTGTGAGAGATTTGGCACTCTCCGTAATTCTCCAGTACTTCTCCTTGGTACCGTGCACTGCTCTGTTAGACAGTGTCACCTTTCCTGCCCTTGAGGAATAGCTTTTAAAAGAATGAGCAATCCTGCTGGAATACTCACCATTCTGTTGGGGGCAGCACAATAGTTTGTTTTGCTTGTGTTTGTTGCTAGCTTCAAAGCTGTGGTGGTCTGTATCACCCAGGAAGATGGAATGGAAGGGAGGAATGAGCCCCTGTGCCTTGCTGGAGCGTTTTCAGCAAGCCACTGCTGTAAAGTGGTGTAATGTACCACCTAGGGCCAAAATCAGAAACTACACTGCTATCTCAAACATTTCACTTGCAAAAGCAGTGTGTGTATTTGAGTGTGTGCATATGTGGTTTTTGTATAAAAATAAAAATCTGTATTAAGGGGAAAAGAGGGACCTTCTTAATGATTGTAATACATTTTAGAAAGTGAAAAAGTGACTTTTGTTTCTCAGAAAACATTATTTCAGGCAGAGTTCTATTCTGCAGAAACTTAGTAGTGGAGAAAGCTTAACAGTCAGCAAAAAAAAGAAGTTTGGATTATGTGGGATTGTCATGGTTCAATCCCAGCTGGCAACTAAACACCATACAGCCACTTGCTCCCAGCAGGATGGGGGAGAGAATAAGGAGGGTAGAAGTGGGAAGCTGTGGGCTGAGATCAAGACAGTTTAATAGGGAAAGCAAAACAAGGAATTAATTCACCACTTCCCAGGGACATGTGCATGTCCATCCGCTTCCAGGGCATCGGTGCTCCATGGTGTGTGACAGTGACTTGTGAAGGCAAAACTCTTGCCCCCAAAGTCCCCCCCTTTTCTTCTTCTTCCCCAGGCTCTACATACTGATCATGCTGCCATATAGTCTGGAATGTCCCTCTGGTCAGAGGGGTCAGCTGTCCAGGCTGTGTCCCCTTCCAGCTCCTCGTGCACCCCCAGCCTCCTCGCTGGTAGGGTGACGTGAGGAGCAGAAAAAGCTCTGACTCTGTGTAAACACCATTCATCAGTAATGAAAATATTCCTGGGTTATCAACACTGTTGTCCTCACAAATCCAAAGCACGGCCCCATACTTGCTACTATGAAGAAAATTAACTCTATTGCAGCTATAACAAGCACTGGGATCCTTCTGCTTTCTTACAGTTTGAGGAAAACTTTTTGAGTGTAAATTTTTACCTGTAATTTCTCCTGAGTTAAAAATTATTCTTCTGGTAAATGTCTTTCCTGCTGGCTGTCAATGGGCTGATGCTCAGCTGAGGCAGTTGGATGACAATGTGTGCTCCAGTGTTTGAAAATGTCCTCAAAAAGTCATCTTCCTACACTGTTTAATTCTAGAGACTCTAAAGCTTTGTAAAATATGAAATAGCAAATTATCCTAGGCTTATGGAGTCTCCTAAGCTCTAAATACTGAGTTAAATAATCATCACCATGACATAATTAAGTAATCACTCAGCTGGATTTATTGAATGATGCTGCTATTTCAAAACCTAATCACAAAGTTAATTTCTGTAAATTATGGTGAAACCCAAGAACAGCAATGGTCAGCAAAAGACATAGGTGGATCCCTAAGATTTTTCTTGCTTGATGTTAATGGTAGTGCTAGGATTTTCATTCCAAAGCTTAACAATATTAAAAATGAATACACTATAGGGAGTGAATGCTTAAGCTTTCTCTCCCTGTTACTTTTAAGTGTTGAAGCTCATGCCTGAAGTCTCTTGAACAGGAGCAAGTTGAGGTGGCCTAGCTGCAGTCTGTAGGAAGCAGGTAAATGAGGTACTGCCCTCATCAAAATACGGGTAAATTGCATTTGCTCAGGTTTAGCCTTGTTTGCACATACCTGATAACTACTTGTACAAATCCCTAATATAAATACAAATGCTGTTAGTTCTCATCTGATTTTCACTGATATGAGCACAAGGGAAGCATTTTCTCTTTCAAAGGAAGGTCTGTGAGCACAGGGACAAGCAGAGAGCAAGAAGTACCACTTTCTCTCAGTGTAAGTCACCCTAGATTGGTCAGGGTGGTCCCAGCACATTATTTCCTAAATCTACATCTCAGGGTGGAGGAGTGTAGTCATGGGGATGTTTTTCTCTTGCAACACTTTCTTCTCATCTCCACCTCTTGTCATCATGTCAAGATCGATGGAGTTGGTGGGCATCAACCCTAGGGTTAGGTGGTATCTACCCCTTGCAGGGAAGGGGGAATTTCCCTTGAATAAAGATTCAAGAAAGGTAGGTAGTAAGGCTCCTGTGGTAGATGCAATGATTTCAAGAGGGCAGAAATTCTGTGTTGGATCAGTTAGTCTGGCCTTGGTGAGGAGAGAATTCTGAGCTGTGTTGTTGGACCAGCCATGGTGAGGTTGGTCTGCACGTGTGTGAGCCTGATAGTTTCCAAGTGTGGGCATGCTGAGCACATGTTACCCAGCCATCTGCCTGGGGAGTTACTCTGGATCCTGGGATAGAGATCTTGCTGGGGGTTGGCTGCTGCCAAATTATTTATTCAGTGTGCTGCTCTGTCTGGGGGAAACCTTAGGGAGGGGAGCTACAGGTGAACTGTAGGACATACTGTCACAGGAACAATATTGTTACATATCCTTGCATCCTAAGGGTCTCACAGGCTCAGAGTTCAACTGCATCCCAAGGTGTTTACCTTCTCAAGTAATTATCCCAGAGTGGGGAGAGCTTTGGGCTCCTTTGGTCTCATCCTGGTGTGACTATCCCAGTGCCCTGGTTACACTCAGTGGGATCCCTGTAACAGCTGCAGTGCCTCCAGGCAGGGCCTTTGACTGTTCTGGGATTCAGGCATCAGCAGTAGAAGTAACAGGCAAGTCTTGTCTTCTAACAAGTTATTTCTGTTAGGCATGGCTGGTAGCAGATCTGGGAGTCTTGGCTCAGTGAGCAGGTACTGTTCCATCCCCATGCAAGGAGTTTTTCTCCATATGCTCACCATCTCTCTCAGCTCATCTTACCCTCTCGCCTTTGGGAGATGGGCCCTAGGATGGAAGTAATTTCCACATCCTCATCAGCAACTCTTTCTCATGAAGGAGTTTAAGTAATATGAGTGGTGGAGGTAGATTTTATTTCTTTCTGGGTTGACTTGTTGGTTTTGCTTTTTTTCCTTTCTTCTGAGCCTATAACTCAGGAGCAGTTGATTGAGAACTTTAGCTTTTAGAGCTATGACTAATATGTTTTACGAACAGTTACAGTGGGTTTGGAGCCTGCTGATAATCTGATTGCCTTTAGTTGTGCAGACATACCCTCAGATACTCCCAAATGAGGGCATCTGGGTGCTTAAGGAATGGAAAAGAATGTGTGTACAAGTATGTATGTACATGTATGTACATAGTTCCATTAGTTTCTTCAACTGACAGAACCTTATCTAGGCACTGAAATACATGAATTTGCATAAGATCTGTCTTTCATGTCTTTACAAGGGAGAATATTTGGAGAAGTTGTAAATAATTGCTATTGTCAGCCTCTCTTTATCTTAGCTCTCTAAAGCTACAGGAGAGAAGTGTACCAGTTTTGCTATTTAGAGCATTTCCCTTAGCAGCTGAATCCTGTGGGAGAGTCCTGTTAGAGCAGCTTTCCTCTGCGGTGGACTCTGCTGACAAGATCACAGACGGCTTTTGGTCTCTGAGTGTCATGATGAACATCTAGTTGGGTCTATTTTTACATCTGAAATATGTTGAAAGATGCTATGGTGAGAAGAAGCAGTACAGTAAGATTTGGAAGCAGTCTATACATGGTAATGCTTTTGGGGACAGTACGCGTTTTCCTTCCAGTTCCTGAAATTTCTTATGTCTGTAAAACTTGAATTAGCATCAAGAAAATAGTCATGACTATACAATATTTTGATTTTTCTCTTTGTGCACCAAGATTCAAGTTCTGTGCTTCATAACTGCTCTGATATGTCCTTTACAGCTTCAAAATTTTCCAATAAAATAAATTCATTGTGAGTTACTGCTACTCTAAACAGCTAATTGAGAAGAAAAATAATGATGCACCTTAAGCTATTTTCCCTTACTGACATACTGTTCTTGACCCTTTTATTCTGCCCTGAGTGTTGGTACGATTCAGAGCAGCATTTCAAGGCATGAGAGAGAAAATATTTTGACCTGAGAAGGTGATTGGAGAAGTGGTTGAAAAAGTGGCTGAAACCTCAGCTGCTTTAACTACTGTTCATGATGGGAATTGGGCAACTGACAGTTTTGACCAGATTATCCCTGGGTTTAGTATGTCTGTCACTTCACTGAGATTACAGACGCCAGGTTTTGTTGTGAGCTGTTTTGCCTGTGGTGTGTAATGGGATCCTGGCTGGCAGACCTTTGTCAGACCTGCCACCCTTGCTGGTTTGGGAGGTGATGGGTACCTGCTCAGCACACAGGTGCTGAGGTGTCTCCTGTCATCTCCATGCATTGCTACACTCTCTCAGCCACCACCAGCTTGCTGCATCCTTGTGGCCTGTGGGGCTGGATGCTGTGGATGACATCTTGGCAGTTGCAAAACGGACCAAGCTTGACTTGCTTGGGAGCAGAGCTGCTCTTTGCTCATGTCTTGGAAAAAAAGGGGTGGGATGTTGCTTATTTAGCTCCTGAAGACAGCCAGTCCTTAGAGGATGACTGCTGGTAAGAGCTGTGATAATGAGGATGGTGATGTGATCTATTAATTTTTCTTTTTTTGTTGTTTTCTTCCACATTTCAGGAGGGGTGCTTGTGGCCTTCAGAAAGCTCGGTTTCACGCCAGGGTGCTTCAGAGGTACTGACAGATTTCTGACTATCTTCACCAAGTGCTTTCTTTTTCTGTAATGTATATTTGGTTCCTTGCCTCTATTTTTTGTAAAGAGAGCTTTTTCAGTGTAGCTCACACTGTCGTCTAAGCCTGCCTTAACACGCATTTCATAAATTCCTGAGAGCTTTTCATAAAAGAATGAAATTCTGCCTACCTGACACCTCATCTCCATCAGCAGCTCTCTGTGTCATAGTAGGCATTCACAAGTAAATGGTGGAGGTATGTCTCTTCCCTACAGTGGCTCAGTAATCTGAGTATTCATTGGAAGCTGGGAGACCAGTTCCTCTTGTCCCTGAATTTTTCTTGGATTTACACCATGAACCCTATCACCAGTGTCTCCCATTTTCTGGTTCGCACGGATCCCTTGTCTGTGTAATAATTTGTGGGTGTATTGCTCTGAGTGGTCCAGCTGTCCTGTGACAAGCAGCAGAACTTCCTGGTGTTGGCCCTGCATCTGTGAAGGTCAGCGGTTGAAGACCCTGCAGGGATCCAAAAAAGAGAAGAGCAGTTTGATAGATCTAGATCCGAGAAGCTGCTGGTGTCTGTCCAGGTCTGGGATAGACCAAGTGAGGAGCAATAGCACCTCACAGAGTATCTTGAATGCTTCCTTTTGTAAAGCCTGTCCTTCCCAGGGTTTAATATACCAGGGACGTACTTTCTATCACAATGCAGAAGCTTTGTATGTTGTCCCCAGAGGCTGAGAACTGAGGGGGAGGACACCTGATACACTCTCATAGTGAAGGTAGGAGATATGCCAAGCCTTTACAAATTGTGCTAAAATGACCATCTGAATTTGGGGATGCATTAATTCTGAGTAGGAGGGGGAAGCTCAGACTGAAGCTGAAATTCAGTATTGGGACATAGTTGTAGAACTAGTCAGTTATCGAGACTAGAGAGAATTCATTTCCTGGTTTCAGAAACAGAATCATTTGTTTTTGCTCGGAATGGTTTAATGTCAGAAGGAGCTGTGTGGGGTCTTGGGCTTCCTTCGTGCAGCTGTTCTCAAGTGTGCTGGATCCTTCCTGCACCTCTTGCCTCTTCACCTGCACTCATGTGGCCACACGTGTGCCTGGTGGCTGCTGGGTTTAACCTCTAAGACAGGTGGCAAAAAGAAGCATTCTGTGTTGTATCAGTAAAGACTGGAGCACTCGAGCGCTTTGTGCAGACGTGGAGTCACGCGTGTCTCTCTTGCCGTTTCAGATCATGTACGCCCCAAGGTCCAGGGACAGGTTTACCACCCCATCTTTCATGCAGCGGGACCGTTTCAGTCGCTTCCAGCCCACCTACCCTTACATGCAGCATGAGATCGACCTTCCCCCGACCATCTCCCTGTCGGACGGTGAAGAGCCGCCGCCGTACCAGGGCCCGTGCACCCTGCAGCTCCGCGACCCTGAGCAGCAGATGGAGCTCAACCGGGAATCCGTCAGGGCGCCGCCCAACCGAACCATTTTTGATAGCGACTTGATAGACATCTCGATGTACAATGGGGGTCCCTGCCCACCCAGCAGCAACTCGGGCATAAGTGCAACCAACTATAGCAGTAATGGAAGGATGGAAGGACCACCCCCGACGTACAGCGAGGTCATGGGGCATTACCCAGGCTCCTCTTTTTTCCATCACCAGCACAGCAACATGCCTCCTTCCTCGCAGAGGGGGAGCAGACTTCAGTTTCAGCAGAACAATTCAGAGAGCACAATAGTCCCCAGCAAAGGCCAGGACCGGAAGCCAGGAAACCTGGTCTAAGTGACTCGCCCAGGTGTGTTTGGACTGAAGACGGGAGATCCCAGCAGGCGGTGGAGGAAGAGCCCCGTGCTCCGGTGCACAGTGTTGTTACGTTTCACGTGGTACAACTGAGTAAAACCAAACGTGCAAACCAGTTCTTTGTTTCTGATTCCTTTCAGGGGAATTGCATGCAAAGCAGATTGAAAGAAATACAAACTTCCATTCAGTTTGTCTACGAGCAGTGTTTTGGGGGGGGGGATATATTATTTTTTTTTAATAAACTATTTCAATTATTTAATTCTAAAAGTTAACTTAGCACAGAAATGAGGCTTGTACAGCCTGTTTTATACTCACTGAATGGCAGAAGGAAGAAGGTGGTTTTGCTAGAAAATGGGGGAAGAATTGGCCAGTTTGCTTTTTTTTTTCTCCCAGGGTGTGAATTTTTTTTTTAATATGAAACAAAATTCCTATTCTGTGTGCCAAGGTATAAAGTTGAGAACTTAGATGAATGCAAGGAATTAATTTGTGTTGTGATAAATGTGTTTTAAAAAGTTGCACTATCTTACTGTTTTAAAAAAATATATATGAGGGAACTGTTTTATGTGAAGTTCTTCTATATGTTGTCGTTTCACCTGTGGAATAATGATAGAGCCCTAGAAGTAATCTGGAGGAGTTTGCCCCCTCCCCCTGGGTTTGCTAGAAGGTGGGGACAGGACTTAGCCTAACATCTCTTGACTTTTACAATTCAAAAAATACAGGGACACTTGTCTTTGCAATAATTTGCATTCAAATAACAGTGTATCAGTGAAGTGTCTTGGAGACTTTTGGATGGAAGAAGGCAAATACGAAATCCCAGCATTTTCCATCACTTAAGGTTTAGCTATTTTGTGGTGTAGACTATTTCTTTCATAAATGGCAAAGCTGAAATTCCCAGATGCGTTGATTTGTATTGATTCTAAGTGCTGCCATTCTTTCCCTTTTCCATAATGCAGTATCACCAGTACTTACCGTTCTAGAGATTTTTGTCCTCACTGTAGCCTGAAATGTATTTAGTCACATATCATGACATTATGCAATAAATGGTTTGAAAACGCAGGGTGGGATTTTTTTCCCCCTGCAGCGCTGTTCAAGTTCGTGAGACTGTTGTGGTTTTCGCTCTCCATTTCATCCTTTCAGATGCTGAGGTTCAGTCCTGGAGGTCTGTCCTGTTGAAGTGAAGGGTGCCCTCGTGGCAAAACCCCCGTGGTGCTTCTGCAGCAGAACCAAGAACGGTCGTGGCAGTGGTGCTTGCTCCTGCCACATCCCTGGCAGAGATGTGGGAGCACCAGGAATTCTCCCTGCAAACCATTTTGCTCTGGGCCCTGTTGCAGAAACCCTTCTGGGTGCATGACGTGGTGCCAGCAGGACTGTGCTCATGGGTAAAGGTGACTCGTGTTAACCAAGTGTCTGTAAGCCCTGATTTTTTGCTATACTGGCCTGGAGAGTAGTTGGAAGGTGTCACCTCCTGTGTCGTGACATGTGGGGTGTTTCTTCACTGGCTGTTCCCGTGTGGAAGCAAGCACGGTGCTGGAACTCAGTTGGCAAAAGGTGATAGTGGCATCACAAGCACATGAAAAAGCACAAATTGCACTTAAAATGCATTTTGGAAATGGACTTAAAAGTAAGAATCTGTAGTCTTAGCTTGAATGGTTTCTAATATATAGGTGTATGAGTGTGTCATAGACCTTTTCACTTTAAGATCTTTCACTTTTTTCTATTTTCCTGAGCCCTGTGCTTGGTTGCAGGCAGCAGCTGCTGAGTGCCCCAAGGGCACTGATACCCTGGTCCCATGGCTGGAGGCTGGATTTCTGCAGGACTTCTGTACACGGGGGGCTCTGATAACTGAAGTGCATCTTTGATCTATGCAGAGTTTTAATGCCAAAACAGTGTGTGTGTGTCTGTGTGTGTGTGTGTCTTTTGAGCCTCAGTGTAGATTTGTTTTCTTCATAAGGTAATTTGATTTTATTCTAGCTTAGAAAACATTTGTATAACTGTTAGTCTGAATACACAGCCCCATTTGTCTCTGTAATTGTTATTTTGGTCTGAGTCATGCTGGTAATGCAGAGTAAAGCTGCCTTTTATCGTATATATTAGTTGAAGGGAAAGATAGAGATTGTATGGTGGGATTCACTTATTTTTTTCCTCTCAGACCCGCAGGACAGGTGCTTAGAAGATGACTAGGTGGCTTTCAGTCAGCTGAGGCTCTCATCACTGTCTGGTTCCTGGGAATGAAAGCTGTGAAGTTAGATTTTTTGCAAACCACCTACCTAACTAATCCTTAGTTAAAATCCACAAACAAAACCCAACCAGAGGACAAAGCCAGCAAATGTTGGTTTTGGTCTTGAGTGACTTGTCACTTGAGGAGTGAGCCTTTAAGCCAGAGGATGTGTGTGCCTACAGAGATACTGTGCTGTTGCCTAAGTGAGGATTGTTTAGCCAAGAAGCCTTCAGGTGAGAACAGCTGGAACTCAATTGTCATGGCAGAGCACACCTGGACTGTGCCCTGGGCGTGGGCTGGTTGGTGACCAACTTTCCTCACGTGCAGATCTCAGCAAAGTGAGCCTTGAAGTTGCCTTCAAAGTCATCTTTTGGGAACATACTTCCTTTAAAAACAGCCCTTTGCCATCTTTTGCCCTCTCTGCATGCCAGTGGATTTATGCACTTCCCATTAACGTTGTCCAGTATGCTGTCTCTTAATTTTTCTTGGCTGAGAAAACTTTTCTGCTTGGAAAATGCAGCCTTTTCCAGTTCTTTAGAAAAGATTTGTTTAAAAATAATTTGGTGTTTGCGCACCCAATAGTTTCATCTCCTCTTGCATCTTTGTCTTCTCATCCTAGAATCAGAGGATAAGCTGAGTTGGAAAAGACCCATGAGGATCATGGAATCCAACTCCCAGCCCTGTGCCGAGCCATCCCCAAAGAGTCACACCGTGTGCCTGAGAGCATTGTCCAAATGCTTTGTGAACTCTGTCAGGCTCTTGCTGTGACCACTTCCCTGGGGAGTCTGCTCCAGTGCCCAGACACCCTCTGGGGGAAAAATCTTTTCCTGACACCCAACCTAAACTGCCCCTGGCACAGCTTCCAGCCATTTCCTTGGATCCTGTCACTGGTCAACAGAGTGAGGAGACCAGTGCTTGCCTCTCCTCTTTGCCCCATGAGGAACTGCACTGAGGTCTCCCCTCAGTCTCCTCCAGGCTGAACAAACAAAGTAACCTCAGCCACTCCTCATATGGCTTCCCCTCTGGACCCTTCATCACCCTCACAGCCCTCCCTTGGGCACTCTCTAATGGCTTAATGTCATGCTCTGCTTTCCCAAATGTAAAGTGCTGACAGGACCTCTCAGCTCTGGGAGTGTAGTTTACTTGATGTAGGTGAGCTTGCAATCTTCTGTTTTGGGGCCTCTTTCAGCAGTAAATAGGCTGTTTTCTGATGGAGATCACTGCTCTCCAGTGGGAAGGCAGTCAACAGTGTAACATTGAAACACTTTGGTTTTTTACTTTTTCTTCTGTTGGCACTGTAGAGAATCTGCTCTTGATAGCAGAACAGAATGGTAAAAGAAATACCAGAATTAGATAGCACTATCAGTCTTTACAGGCTTAGAAATTAGTGAACTCTGCAGATACGTAATTCTATGAAGCATTTATGGAAGACAAGCTTTGAGAATATCCAGAATTGATAGACTGTATTCCAGAGCCACTCAGTGAAACTTTGTATAAATTATAAAAGTTTCTGCAAACATTGTAGCATTAATTGTGTAGATTTTGCCTCCATACTGATGCTCTGGTTTATGTGTCTCATACACAAAACCCACATAATATCTGTGTGGTATTTTCTATGTGATGGTTCGTATTTGCCTGAATTCTGGTTGCATCTTCTGACTTTGCCCAGTAACTCGTGTTCCCAAAATTTAGTATAGTGACTCCTTTAGTAGTTTTCAGGTTAAAAGATTATTTTTTCTTCTAAATGGACCTGTATGAAGTAAAGTTTTGTGACCTCTGTCCTACTGCAAAGACTAACTTTTCCCTTAGGTGTCTTGGCATGGTTCTCTTGTTGGTGCTAAATGTGCCCCATCTTTGGTGTTTTTGTATGACCTTTCAGGACTAGAAAAGGCAGGGGGTTTAGCAAAAGAAAAAAAACAGTTTATCTCCCAGTTTACCAGTGGAGTACTTGGCACTTAGCTCTAATTCTGTTCCTATGTCTAGCACAGTTGTGGCTGGGCTCCTCTCAGTGCTGGACAAGCAGACTCAGTGTGATGCTGCTTAAAAAATGTGAGTGAGGGATAGGAAGAGGGGCACCCAGCCAACAGTGCAGTGTTGAGATCCCTTTCCTGGTTTGTGTGGCATGTGCAGAATTCACAGGACTTTGCATGATAGGATGTTTTCATCAGGGAGGATGTAATTATGCTACTCCTGGTCTTGTCACTGATGAACTCTGCACTTGGGCCAGTCTCGGGCTGAGGGGACTTTATTATAGCATGGTTTTCCTTTGGAAGTATGAAAACTCAAGCATACACCCCATGTACAAGTTCCTTATGGCCAGTGAGGAAGATGTTTGCATTCCTGCACTCATGGAATCTGCAGGAACCATGGGTTAAGCTGTGTTTCATTTGGCTTTTTATTACTGCTTGCCCACTTCTTCCACCAGTTTGTCCCAGCTGGAAGCTGCTTCTGTTATGCCAAATCTCTGAATGTTCTTGTTGCAGATATATTTTTTTAAAAGGTGTCGTTGAGAGTTCTTTTTTTTTCTTCTGTGAATGGGGTACAGGGATGGGTAAGGAGCAGAATGGAATTGTTTATTAAGGAATGCACTTCGTTGCAATAGAGAATAAATCCTTGTCCTGCTGAAGAGCCCCTTGTGGAGGCTGTCTGGAACACTGCTGTCTGAGGCAGTAGTTTCTAACCCTGCCAGGTAGTGAGATATTGGACCTTAAAAGTGACACTCTAATCTATAAGGAATGTTTGACTGCTTTGGAGAAGATTGATTGCTAACCTTTCTCTGACTATCCCTGAAAGCCCATGTAGCTAAGGTAACCTGATTTTGTAGGAGAAGAAAAGCAAAATATTAAGTTGGTGAAAAATAGATGTACATCAATATTTTCTTTGCCTTTTTGTTTGTT